ATTCAGTCAAGTTAGGGTGGTCCTCCAAGAGGGTTGCAAGAACTTGAAGGTTGTCAACAGGGAATGAGGGAATGACCCCTATAAAGCATCCGCTATGGAATCCTGCACAAGCAAGATGATGTATGCTGGCTATGTTGAAATCATACTTCCGAGTCTCGTCTCGTGATTCCAGCGGTTGTCATCCAGATGACTCGGGTCAGCTAGCCAGATGTCAGCCCAAAGCCACCGCCGAGGATGTGACGGAGTTCATCCACTTCTTATTTGGTTCTGAGGAGGACGTGGAGCTCCAAGCTCAGAGAGAGAGAGAGAGAGAGAGAGAGCAAGCAATCCGGACACCCTTTTTGCTCCCAGGAAGGTTTCAAGAGTCTTGTTGTTGCTTGTTGTTGCTAGACTTTGCTTGCAGAGAGACTGAGTGGCGAGGGTGGAGGGTTTGTGTCAGGTGACCCCGCTCTTCCCCCCCCCTCCCCCGTTTCGCTTTGGTAATGCTGTTGATGCGAATCGTGTCAGCCTTTCGCGTGGCATTCATGGACAAACAGCACACAGCAAGTCCCCGGAAGCAAAGCTAACACCCAAGCTTCGGCGTTGACTCTTCGTATCCCCGTCACACACCCTAAGATGGTTCCCTATAAAATGAAAGCAGGTTTCCGGCTGCTGCAGGTTTCTGGAGATGTTTCGGATGGCTATGCTAAGCTGCAACCCTAACCCTCGAAGCCATCCGAAGCCGACGAGGTTCCGGCAACAAAGTGAAGAAGTGACTATGTTTAGGCCCCCTACAGCAAACATGGCGAGTGCACAGGGTGGTTTGGATTCGCTGGTTGGAGGTTAGGGCTTGGGGGGTATCTTCCCGATCTTCCCATTTGGATTGAACAAGGATCAATTCAACGCCGCTAGCCACCACACCAAACTGCCAATGAAGGGTAATGCAATTGTGCGGAGGCATTCTTCTTCTTAAAATCCTTGTTCGTTGCTGGTTTCCCGCAAAACGTGGTCAGCTCCGAAGAGGGTCACCTTTCTCCACTAGGGTCATTAGACAACTGAGGGAGGTGATGCTTGGTGCAGTCAGAAGAGGCATTCTGGTCCGTCGGGCCCAGTCCTTTGCTTGAGACATCTGTACCGGCGGGGCAGGTTGGGCCTAGTAATGCTCAGGTGAGTTGCTTCAGGGGCCCCAACCCAAGCAAGTTAACAATGATGGGACTACCCCACAAATTAGCACGGACCCCCCAAAACCACGATTTGTAGAGGACGCTTCTTTGAAGTGTAGGGTTTCAGCGGACGCGTCTGGCGGCCGTTGTTTCCCCGATCCATGCATCCGAGGCGCCTGAGAGGGAAGACTTCCGCAGGACCCGTAGCTTGGGGCCTTGGGGTCTTGGGGCCTCGGGGTCTTGGGGCCTTGGGTTGGAAGCTCCCACGGACAAGGTCTTCAGCGTGCACTCATTACGAACACACAGATCCCGCGGAGAGCGCTGGGGCCGCTTGAAAGGTCAATGTATGAATTGATGAAGGAGGTACACAGGCTCCCTTTCCAAGACAACCTGGTCTTCCAAACGGGTTTCTGCACTTCCATATGGTGCGAGGGACCCCTTGTCTTCTTTGTTCTGCGAGCGAGCACCCTGGTGTTTTGTGGGGTATGGGGTATTGAGTGCCCCAACTGCTGAAGAAGTCACCTCAATCGCTCTCACCCCCACCTCTTAGACCGTCGACTGCAGATGTGGCAGGCGGCAAAATCGCCAGGTTTCCCTTCTTGCTCACGACAATGCAAACCCAAAAGTGGATTCTACATGTCATGTGTTGGCGCGGCGTTTTTTTTTTCCCCGAAAGCATGGCGAAGGGTTCTTCCGCTGGGTTCACTTGAGTTGTTCTCATGAGAGTCATTACAAGGTGTCATTGCAAGGAATCATCATCATAAAAGTCATTGCAAGGAGTCATTGCAAGGAGTCATTGCAAGGAGTCATTGCAAGGAGTCATTGCAAGGAGTCATTGCAAGGAGTCATTGCAAGGAGTCATTGCAAGGAGTCATTGCAAGGAGTCATTGCAAGGAGTCATTGCAAGGAGTCATTGCAAGGAGTCATTCATTGCAAGGAGTCATTGCAAGGAGTCATTGCAAGGAGTCATTGCAAGGAGTCATTGCAAGGAGTCATTGCAAGGAGTCATTGCAAGGAGTCATTGCAAGGAGTCATTGCAAGGAGTCATGGCAAGGATTGCAACTTGCACTTGACTCCTTGCACTTGCAACTTGCACTTGACTCCTTGCACTTGCAACTTGCACTTGACACTTGACTCCTTGCACTTGAACTTGCACTTGACTCCTTGCACTTGCAACTTGCACTTGACTCCATGCACTTGCAACTTGCACTTAACTCCGTGCACTTGCGACTTGCACTTGACTCCATGCACTTGGCCCCTTGCAACTTGCAATGGCTCTCATGACTCCTTGCAATGACTCCTTGCAATGACTCCTTGCAATGACTCCTTGCAATGACTCCTTGCAATGACTCCTTGCAATGACTCCTTGCAATGACTCCTTGCCATGACTCCTTGCAATGACTCCTTGCAATGACTCCTTGCAATGACTCCTTGCAATGACTCCTTGAAACAAGCAAGGAGTCAAGTGCAAGTTGCAAGTGCAAGGAGTCAAGTGCAATTGACTTGCGAGGAGTTAAAATCTCTTCTTAGGGCGGCGGGGTAGTGCCGACGACACTACACGAAAATCGACCCTCTGCGGGGATCGGCGTGGTCGAGGTGCAAAAACCCATGGTTTTTTGCGATTTCTGCGGTGCTCGCGCGACCCTCTGCGGGGATCGGCGTGGTCGAGGTGCAAAAACCATGGTTTTTTGCGATTTCAATGCTCGCGCGACCCTCTGCGGGGATCGGCGTGGTCGAGGTGCAAAAACCCATGGTTTTTTTGCGATTTCTAACCTGCTCGCGCGACCCTCTGCGGGGATCGGCGTGGTCGAGGTGCAAAAACCCATGGTTTTTTGCGATTTCTGCGGTGCTCGCGCGACCCTCTGCGGGGATCGGCGTGGTCGAGGTGCAAAAACCCATGGTTTTTTGCGATTTCTGCGGTGCTCGCGCAACCCTCTGCGGGAATCGGCGTGGTCGAGGTGCAAAAACTCGAGGTTTTTTGCGACTTTTGTTGTTCGAACTGGTCCTCGGGAGTTGTCTCGTGGTTCGCGCGCCTGCTCCCGGAACCGGCGGGTCGCGGGTTCGATTCCTCCCTGGTCCGCGGGCGGGCGTCGCAAGATGCAACTTGCATTTTACAGCAACTTGCGCAGAGCAACTTGCGCAGAGCAAGTTGCACAGAGCAACTTGCGCAGACCAACTTGCACCGACCAGTTTGCGCAGAGCGCCTTGCCTAGAGCAACTTGCGCAGAGCAACTTACGCAGAGCAACTTGCACAGAGCAACTTGCACAGAGCAGCTTGCACAGAGCAACTTGCAGGGAGCGCAATTTGCACAGAGCAACTTGCAGGGAGCCACTTGCAGGGACCAACTTGCCGGAGCAACTTGCGCGGAGCAACTTGCGCAGAGCAACTTGCACAGTGCAACTTGCGTAGAGCAACTTGCGCAGACCAACTTGCACCGACCAGTTTGCGCAGAGCACCTTGCCTGGCGCTGTCTCGCGCTTGCTTCACGAAGTGTAGGGAAAAAGAACGCATCCTGCAGCGTTGGGCCGACCTCGCTTGCGATGTTCTGCTTTCGGGCCAACCGTGGTCTAGTTCTTCTTTTTCTCCAGCAGGCCCCCCCAAGCAGCAGCCTCAAACGAGTGCCGGGAAGAACACTCAGCCCCGGCACGGTGGGGCCCAAGTTGCCATTTTTTGGCAAATATGTTCTTTAGACTTTCCTGCGTGCTCAGAGGCTCCAACAGAATACAGTTGCGGCCGCAAATGGGCAAACTTTGAACTTCTGGTTGGCAGGTTTCTTGGCCTTTCGTCCATCTTCACTGTTCTCGGCAAGTGTTGTTTTGGTTGTGGGCTCTGTTCATTTTAGCTGGGGGGATGTTAAAACCAAAGTCTTTGCAGCCATACCAAGAGTTGTAGAGCCATTCAAGCGAAGCCCAAGCAGATTGAACTTTGAAAAGCCAGCTGGTGCAAAGCAATTGCGAGCCAGGACAGGTTGGGGAGACTAGAGAACCTAGTCCGGTTCAGCAGGCTCCGGGGGCGGGGGGCGGAAGGTGGTACCTAAGTCTACCTAGCCCCGAAGAACTAGTCTGCCTAGATGCATATCACACATGGTCTTGTTAAAATTGAAGCTCGCTCTTGCCAATATGGCAGCTGCCCTTGTTGATTGCGGATTTGGATTGGGATTCCACCTTCATTGTGAACAGCCTGGAATGGAACTTTAGACCTTTGGAGCCTTTGGTCTTGCATACCCATATTTACATGGCCTGCCATTTGCACGTGCTTTTGGCAGCCCCTCTCAACGACTACTTTGCAGACAACGCTTGGGGCTGTTCACGTTCTGGTTTCGTTGGGGCTGACTGCCAGTTGCAGCTGGGGCGTCCGTTGTTTTCCCGTTGGGTTCATGAACATTTCAAGCAATGCTTGGAAGCTCTTGTCAAGTGCATGCATTCTTGTGGCCAGCCCTACCTATCTGAGGAAAGCCAACCCCCCGACAACTTTGAGATCCTGAACGGTGTTTACCCCATTAAACCGGCACAAAGGGGCAGTGAGCAAAGTACTTAAGCACAAAGCTTCGCAGCGCCACCAGGGTACCCATGGAAATCGTATGGGCCCGGGCTTAATGTACCCTGAAGGGTGCAAAGGGGCAACTGAGGTCTGAGGGCTAGGGTCGTTAGGAATCCTAGGGTTCACGCCTGGTTGGCGGTTCCGGAAGTAATTACTTGGTTACCTTTCAAGGCGCGCATGAGTAGGGTACAGAGCATTTTTGCCGCAACCCGGCAACTGAGCACCTGACAGGCGTTCAAGCACCAGCCCCATATGTTTTGCACAGCGGGGTGCATTGGACCTTGTGGGCTGTCATACGACCAGGATATCCAGAGGACATGCAGTCAATAGAGGCCGATTTGAAGTGAGGGTGGTGTTTTGCCAGGCGAGAAATCTCGGGACCCGGCACGCGCGACTGCCAGGAGAAAAATATTGTGACCCCGCGCTTCTTTGAAGGGCGTGTTCGCGCGCGCGCGCGCGAAGCGCGCGGTTTCCAAGCGAAGCGCGACCGCCTGCCAGGCGCTGCCGTCCCCGCGGCAGGTGACCTTCCAGGCCCGCGAGGCTCCGGAGCCGGAGCTGAAGGTGGCGCCTCGAAAGGACTTCCCGTGGCCAGTGGCCGAAAGTTGGCAAACGGTAGCAGCAGGTGGGAAGCTCGTTGAAACATGTTGAAACAAGCGGCAAAAAGAGGTTCCAATTTTGGCAGGAGTTCTCCAGCAGACCCAGGGGTAGATTTGCCCCAGGACAGAGGTCCAAAGTGGGAGGAGTTCTCCAGCAGACCCAGGGGTAGATTCGCCCCAGGATGGGAAACAGCCCCAAACTTTCTTGATCGCACCCAGCGTTGCAAGTGCCGCAAGACTTGGGTAAGCCCCGACCGACAACCTGCCCACCCCTACCCCGGAGCAATGGAAAGGCGGGGGAGCTGTTCCAAGAACGGCTCACACCCATACCTGTCAAGCGTCTTGCCAAGTGGCGCCTGTAAAGTTGTTGGAGCTGTCGCATGTTTTTCATCCGGTGATTGGCATGCCTTTGTGCTTCGCTTCTTTAAGTTTAATTGCTTCTTCCTGTCAAGTGTGTGCATAGCGAGTGCATCAGAATGCCCTCCCTTTTCTTGGCATATTTTGCGTAACGCATTACGTATGATTTACCAGCACGGTTGGCAATGCTGACCCCATATTAATCAATCAGCCCCTGTTCATTAACAGGGGGGTGTCCCTGGGTTTTGTGCGGAATCATCACGTTTGTAGGGGACAACACCCCCTATTCTGTAATAACAATAATAGTAAAAATAATGATCATATAATAGTAATAACAACAACAATAACAATATCAACAACAATAATGATGTTAACGATATTAATGATAATAATAATAATGATAATAGTGATAATGATAATAATGATAATGATAATAATTAACAGTGGTTGTTTCATATGGAGTCAACCTTAGACTTTCCCTGCGCTGAGGCGAAAGACATGGCGCACATGGTGCCGTGCCGAACGCTCACGGCGGGCCGTATGCCCTCGATGCGGCAGATCGACGACTACCCGGACCCTCGGAGTCCGCTGTCCCCATACCCATACCTCACTCCCCGAGTTCCTTGACTTCAGTCTTTTGGGTAATGGGAACTACCACCAATCCAAGCCACCAACTAGAAAGAAGCTGAGTTCCTTGACTTCAGGTACTTTTTCGGTTTGGACCATTTCAGTGGTACACTCAAAGAATGGCTACTAGTTAGTGGTTCGGAAATTTGGTTTGGATTTGGACTTGAACGCTTTTTGTAGAGGGTAGATGGGAAACCCTGCTTGACCACCAAACCACCAATCCAAATCACCAATTGGAAGGAATCTGGTATTTTGGGATTGAAGTTCTTGGTAGTCTTTTGGATTGTGTGTGGTAAGCGCACGTGCTTCTTGAAATTGCAACAGTTCACGGGTGCCGCCATCTCTCGTATCCCAAGTTTCTAGACTTCATCAGTTCTGGAAAACAATTTTGGTGGCCAACCCACTCAGGAAGTGAGTCAGCATATCCATGATGTCTGGGCACTCCCCCATGAAATGAAAACCCCAGACCACCATACCCCCCCAAAAAAAAAACAAGAAACAAAGAAACAACACACACACACACACAAAAAGTTTTCACCTCCGTCAACGCTACCCCCTGGGTGGTAGGTTAAAGGGACACGCACACACACGCACACACTAGCCAATACTGACCTCAGTGCCATTCCCTCCTGCTTCCGAGGAGGGGGAGCCAGGGTCAGAGGCGGGCCTGGCTTGAGTCACAATAACCTGGCCGAATCCGGGAAGCCAGCTATAGGGAGTTACCTCCCCACAGATGAACATAAAGCCCAAACATCCACCAATTTGTAGAGGAAACTCCTTTTGGCAAACCCATCCTTTGTCGTTCCGTGTTAATGTGTAGGGGAGTTATGCAGGTTCGCCCAGCCCCCTGAACTTCCTGCAGGATATCCTGTAGTCGCATCGTTTCCATGAATTCGCAGTCCCAGCAAGAAATAGGTGAGACCGCCAACTAATTCGGTGCAACCGCCTCCTCCTTTTGTGCAACAATGAGCGGAATGCAAAGTGAGATTTTCAAGTTTGCACATGCCGCATTTGGAGCCGACTTGCCCTTCCACAAATAAATAATTAGTTTGGAAAACCCTTGTTTTCCACTTTTGCCTGCCGGCGGCATTCGACAAGCCGCATTCCAGAGCCAGTGCATCAGGCAAGGCTTGTCTTTTCGTGTATCCGTAGCTTTTGCAACCCACAAGATTTTCCCATGAACCGCGAAAAGCACAAGAGTTGGCTTGCCCTCGCTGAGGGGCTTCCCTTTTCCTACCATTTCGGATCACTCGCTCAACTGAGCTGAGAAGCCGCCGGTTGCTGGCCAGGCCTTCGATCGAATGGACTACCACTCTGAGACGGAGTGCAGCGACGTGGAGGACGGATCCGCGGATCCCACATACCGGAGCCCGTCCCCTAAAAGAAGCTCGGTGGCTGTGTTGCCCTTTGGCAGCCGATAGGTGGGTAGCCATGTCCAACCACTTGTGAGGTGGCTCCCTAGTAGATGCTCCGCGGGAAAGTATGTTCACTTCTAAGTCCGGGTTTGCCTTTGCTTGGGAAAACTGGAAAAACACAATGTTAGAGTTTGGGAATGTATAAACATTTGGTGGTTGAAGCTTACTTCCTGGGTTTCTGGACTTGCTTTTTGGAAAGACATCTTAGTGGCAGGCAGATGCTTTCATTTGCTTAAGAACATGTTTGATGTTCGGTTACAAAAGACATCCATCCCATTCTTCCTTGTCCTTCCGTCCAATCCAGAATGTAACCATTATCAACAACTTTAGGATGTGAATGAAGGTGACATGAGGAAGAGGAAGGTAATGGCTGACAATAAATCCATCCTTCATTCACCCACCTGTCAGCTCTTGGAATCGCATGACAGGTAAACGAACGAAGAGAGAGGTGGCATGTGGATGAGGAAGAGATACACCAACCAACCTTCCCTCGCCACCATCGGTTAACCCTTCATTTGTGGCTCGCCAAGGATAACAGGTTCTTGAATCCCAAGAGCTCCTACAATAGGATTCTGATGCCACCTTCATGTCGGCTCATCTTCTCTTTACCTTGTATTAATTAGAGGTTACAGAAGGAATAGAGCTGCATTTGCAGCGGTTAGATGAAGGTAGATGAATGAAGATGTGATGGAGGTTAACCGCTATGACGAAGAGATGAGGAATGAGGATTAACCGGTTGGCTGTTTCCTTTCCCATTCTCTCCTCCCTATCATTGACGGAGAGAATCCTGGTCAGTTGGGTGTCTATAGGTGAGTCTCTTTGGTCGCTGTGGAGAGAGGTTCTGAGGTGTAACCGTGTAACCAGATAGTCCTGAGGATTCGACAAAAGGACCAGAAAGTGAATCAGGATCTTCTGGTTACCTCGTCTACCAGAAATTCTCCAAGACACGAAAGGTAAATGAAAGAGACCTAGAGATTAATAATAAAGGGAATGGGAAATGCAAATAAAAGCATTTCTGTGGTCTAATATTTTCCTTCATCATCCCTCACCCGAGGTGACTTGTTGGTGTTGAAGTGAACCTATCAATATATTTTCAGTCTTGTTTCCAAGGGGCTTAAGCACATGGAAGGAAATGACATGGAAGTGTGGCCCCTTTCCCAAGTATTCTTCGATGGTATGTTGGAGGGATCTTGGGTTCTCTGAGGAGAAAGGCCCACTGGCCCAAAGCGAATCGCGGGTTGGGCTGTTTCCAGTAGAGCCTAGTGAGACAAGCCAACCTTTGGGCGTGGGATAGCAACTCGTTGATTGTTGCAGGTGACACTACCAACCATCGACCAGGATCTTGCTCTTTCGGCGTGGTTCCTTTAAAGAAAAAGGCGTGGGTCCAAGATTTGCGGCATGGTTATTGCGCATCCTCCTTTTCCAAGCGCACAATGATCTTGTCGGTTTTATTGAAGCAAGGGAAGGACGCGTTTCCGTCGCCATACCGTCTTCGGAAAACGCGTTTGTTCTTTCTCGAGTACAAAGGCCAAAGGCACCACAGATAACCAATTGTGGCAAACATGTTCAACCTTCAAGGAGACATCTTGCCATGGGTCAAAATCTTGTACCCGCAGTGAACATCCCAATCCCCACTTTAAAAAAATGGGTGGTGCACCTACCCCAAAATGGTACCATTGGTTTTGACCCACAGACATATGGGAAACTGCTGATGTGCGCGGTTCGGGAGGCTTGGGGTGAGGCTCGCGCGGGGATAGGAGCTGGAGCCGGCGGCGCTGACGACTCGGCGCGGAGGCAGGCCGTTTCGATTCCTCTGAGTCCGAGGGTGAATTTTTGGTGCAAGTTGGTGGATGGCTTTCTTACCCGCCAAAAAACTGGTTTTCCTCCACAGGAGATGCTCTTTGGTTCCATGCTGCAATGCTAATCTGCGTGGGGTAGTAGATTGGACTCCACCAGCAAAGCGACCCCCTGTAGTGGAATCCACCCCCCGAAATGTGACCCCTTGCAAAAGCAGCAGCATGGAACTAGGCTTTGGCTTTCAAAGTCCCCGTTTGAACAATGAAGGGACCCCTTTATGAGAAGCTCGGCGGGGGTCCCTTGAGTTTTTGGAGGAAGACACGGGTCAAAAAGCACATCCTGGCTCAGGGGTTGCTGTCAATATGGGAATGATCAAACCTCATGGCAAGTAGAAGCTTGGCGGGTTTTCCTTCGGTGCCAAATTCGCCAAGAGCCAAGTTGTTGTTCGACCCTTGCACCAAGGTTGAGTGGGAGCAATCAATCCTCAAGAAAGATCGGCGTTCTACTTAGATGATTCTTTTGGTATGGGCCAAAATTAAATCACCAGGGGACCGCAGGTTTTGGTCTATGTTTCCCCTTTTTCAAATGGATTCCAGATGGGGTACCTATTTTCGACCCACCGCCGTTTGGGTTAGTGGGACCACTTGCAGGTCTCTTGGGACCGCTTGCCCTCGCGCCAGGCGTTTCCGCCATCCCCACGGGCGCCTTCAACGTGCGCTTCGCGGCTCGGATGCAGAGCCTTCCCCCACCCCGGGCGGGGGGGGTACCCTCTATGGCACCCACTGGACACCTCTTAAGGAGTAGAACCCCCTCCCACCAACCACAAACCCCCCTTTGCAGGAAAAAATGTATTTTGGGCGCCTCAGCATTAATTAGTCGGTGGAAGGGTAAACCTCCAATAATAAACAAGAGGTAGAGGATGGGCGCACAAGGACCCCCGACGAACATAGAAGTTGAGGGTTCCAAACGGCGGGTTTTCCAGAACAGTTCCCGACAGGGCCTCTCCCCACAGGGCCTCTCAAGTCGAGCGGATCCCTCCCTGGTCCACAGTAACCTCAGGATCCCTTGAAGGGAATACATTTGGGCCGGTGCCAGCTGTTCTAGAGGATCCCCTATTCAAGCAGACGGTGTTTGATGCATTCTTTTTTTGCAACCCTGTCAACATTGTGATGTGGGCGTGTGTTTTTCGAACCACCGAGATGTCTTTTCTCGCAGACGCCCCTGTTGGGCGTTGTGCTCGAGGGAAACAAAGGGGACCCACCCATGAGATGTGCTCCCTGATGAGACAAGCCTCGTCTTCACGTTGCAGGTATTGCTTGGGTTCATACAAGGGGACAAAGATTTAGGCCCAACATCCAAAAATTGAGATGTTAAAATCATGGCCACATAATGATAGTAAGTGTTCAGCCTGTTGTGTTACTCACGTGGCTCGCGCTCGAGGTCAACTGGGTGAGCCCGATGTTCGAGAAGGACAAGAGCCACCAGGCACGGACTTCGAGCGAGCAAGCTCACAAGGGCGCATCAGCTCATGTCGGTTGCTGGGAGGGTGGGTCTTTCAAAGTCTGCACGGGTAATTGGGAATTTATTTGCTCGAATCCTTTGTAGTTTATCTGTTGACGCAATTTGTTCTTTCGGATTAAGCACTGATGGGAAGACAATTCTGGTGGGAATATGTCGAGCTGGAAATGGGTCTCCACGTCCAGTATTTCAATATCCCCATCCATGCAGCCTACTGAAAACCCAGGGGTTTTGAGCCAGGTTTCATCAGCAGCTGTTGGTTTCTACGAAGGGAACCAGGCAACTGGTCGATTGTAAACCCAATGAGCAAATCCTTCCAAAAGCAAGTCTCCCTCCATTCAGAGATATATGTTTGGTGGTCCATGTGAAGGGCTGAGGAACCAACCCAAACAAGAACACAAAGAAACATCCCCAGCATCATTGGAGCTCTACGACGAATGGATCTGCAGTAAAACCGGACCCACCTTTTGTGGCGGCTTGATTTGGTTCCCTTTCAACCAACTCAAACTCCCTACCTGTCAAGCTGGTTCCGGATGTTCAGTGACACGCTTCCCTTTTTGTTCGGCTCACCTAGTTCCAAGGGACAAAAATCCTCGCTTCTAAGCCCCATCCAAACGAGTCGATTTGGCTTCTCAACTATAGGGCAAGCCCCCACAATAGCAGTTGTCCTCTTGGAAAGAGAAAAAGGAGACAGACCCACAACAGCAGCTGTCCCCCACAATGGCAGCCCCCTAAAAAGAGACTGACCAATTTGCTGAAAGGGACTAGGGCCAGCCAGTTCGCAGGAGTTTCTGCTGCGCTCCTTGGCCAAGTGCCCCTTCTTTTGGGCGCCTTGGCTTCGCAGCAAACTGAAGCGGTGACGGCCGGCACCAAAAGATGGTGTTCTTGAAGGTGCTTTTAGCCAGGTTGTGTCTTTGTCCTGCTTTTGAGTGGTTCTGTTTGTTTGTTTGTTTGTTTGTTTGTTTGTTTGTTTGTTTGTTTTTGAGGGGGGGGGGCGGCCACACTTAGATGGTCCAGCGTGGGGTCCTGGTTCAGACCATTTCTTCTAGCAGACGCTCTGATTTGGACACCAAGCGTGCTGAGAAGGTGCACTTGATTCAACTGGGTGTGTCTTTTTTGGGGGTCCCCCTTTTTGCTTGGTCTTTAAAGCGGCACCAAAAGGAACACCACCATTTTGGGGGCCCCTAGCTAAAATGTTGCCACTGGTTGATGGCCCGGATCTTTGACACATCATACTCCACGTTCATTGCTTTGTAGGATTTTTCGTCGCAACCCAGGGAGGCGTACGGTCAAGAAGGAGCTGTTGGGTGGCAGAGGTTCTTTATACAAACCCGCTACTGGCTAGGGTGGTTCAAATCTCCAACATGCCGGCGTGGAATGCATTTTTTGAGTAGATACACCACCAATTCAAGCAAAAGGATGGATCAAGTTGGAGTTTCAGGGGCGGTCCCTCCCCAAGTTTGGAGAGTCCTTACCCGGTCTCTCTAGCAAGTCATATATGTTGCTTCTTATGGCGGGGCTTGGTCACGGGAACAGTGAAAGCTACGGCACAAATTTCTTTGGGGTCTGTTCGGAGCGGCTTCGGGCCAGGGTTTGCGCTTGGGGATGCCACCCGGGCTTTGTTTTTTTGTGAAGAGGGGTGGCAGGGCGGGGGCTTTGTGCTGGCTGAGCGTCCCTACTTTGTGGGGCGTCCCCCCCCTTCCAGAGGCCTGGCTAAAACACACACACACACACATATATATATATATATATATTTAGAGAGAGAGATTAATTCCAGATATCACACATGCCTAAGCTTGAATTTGCACTACCACCCCCCCGAAGGAAAAACGTGATCCTTATCTTCAAGAGGCTGTGTATATACATGTATAGTAGCGGTAGTAGTTGCATATCAGATGCTTCCTGGGAATCAAAGGCTCTATGGTAGTCAATCTAAGAAGCCAGCTGAGGAAATTCAATACGCAAAATTAGTTGGCGGGAAGACTGCGCCCCCTTGTTGTTTCATGGGTGCACCAAATCAGGCAGTTCTTAATTGTTGGTTTTGGTGGTTTGGGGATTGAACCCTTGGTTCTTGTAGAGAGCAAGTGGGAAACCACCTCACCTCCAAAGCGCCAATCCGAAGCACCTAGTGATGGGAAGCTGAAGCGTGGTTCACCTCAAAAGGGGTCACTGGTTGCAACTGCTTCACTTCAGCGAGCGTTGCGTCGCGACCGTGCGCGAGTTCTCGTGAGGAACTGGACAAGGAGATCCTCCAAGCTTTGGCCCCTCGAGCCAGAAAGTCCCGGACGATCCAACTTGCCATCCACAGTACCCTAGGAGTCCAAGGCCTCATTCGTTTGAGGCCTTTGGGGGGTTCAAGGCCCTCATATTTAGGGTCCAAGGGGCTTTAGGGTACTGTGGATGGACAAGAAATCCACTTCTCGTGCACAGTAGACCTTGCTCGGCCGGGGCGGGGGGGGGGAGATGGGGGCTAGCCAATTCTCTTTCAGGGATTAGTGGACGGGAGGATTCCGGAGTCTCTCTTTTAGGGTGCATAGCAAACAGAATCACATATGATTTTCTGCGTCAGATGTCGGCCCAGATGACTAAATCCCCAGGGTCACCTTGAACGTTGCTTGCTTCAGGCAAGCAAATGGGCCCGATGTTTTATTTGTGTGTGGGGGTCATCACTGTTCGAAACTGGGCGCCCTTTGCCTACTCTGGACTTTGGTTCCCAAGAGCCATGCTTTCCAGCGGAGCCATGGGGCCAGACTGGGGGGCATGTCGTTATGGGTACATCGAAGGGCCTTTGGGTCAGCACGAAAAGAGGGTAAGCAGAAGTTTACTCACTGCAGAGTTCCTGGACTTTGCTCACTTGTGGTTGAACCATGCTCGCGCTAAACAATTTGTTGGCCCATCCAGTCAGGAAGTGAGTTTAGTACCCTACAGGTTGACTCCAACGGACTCCGCATGCAAACCACGCCCTGGATTCCAAGGACAAACGCCACCCCCCCCTCCCCCCGGGCCTAGATCAGCCACAACGCCCCTGCAATCCCTCCCTTTCCCCCAGTAGTGCCCCTCCTCTCCTTTTGGGGAGGAGGGTTCCCCTATTAAAATAGACTACAGAAAAAGGGTATCCTTATTCTAACCTCTCTACTCGAGGACCTAGCTCCCAGTTGCATACCCACAGGCGAGAATATTTAAAGCAATGGTTGATCAATCCCCGGTTCCCCGGTTCCCCCCCCATTTAGCCCTGTCGCACGAGGTCGACACCATGGAGATCGAGGAGTTCCAGCCGGGTGAGGCGGTGTACACCAAGGGCGACGTCGGGCGATCCGGCGCCGATCTCAGCTGATCTGGAGCCCAGACCGGTGGCTTCCATTTGCATTCTCACCGAGCCACGCCTATGCATAGCACGGGTTCTTAATCCACAGTCAACCTCACATCCCTTTGGTGGGGTCGTGGGGATGTGTTTCAGCAACCCACCTGAGGGTTGCTGAGTTGCAACCGCCTGTTTCTGTTAAAAACCGGGCCCAATCCGGTCTGGCCACATTAAAGTGAACATGTTTGGGTTCGCAAGCTTGCTTTTGATGGCGTTCCCATGTCCACCAGCATTTATAGGGTCATTCTGGATGTCACTTTAATGGTGACCATGCTTTTCAAGCAAAACAACTCAACTTTACTTTCTGGGCCAACGGAAAAGAGGTTGGGCTCCGCATGTGGTCCTCGCCTTGGCACTGAACGAACATCAGGGGGTGGGTGGCGACATCTGGGGGTTAAGTCTAGCGAACCCTGAGGTTTGAAACATGAAGACCTTCAGATTTTCAGACCTTCACACCTTAAGGTTGAACCCTGGAAGCTTCAGTCTGAGGCCACCCGTGTAGTGGAACGAAACCCCTGCACCCGGTGCGCAGCCTACGCCGTCGCCGGGTCGCCTCGCCACCCGCAGGCTACGTGCTCATCGCGGGGCACCTCACGGCGGAGACGGACGCCACGGAGTTGGGCAACGTCCTGCGGAGGTCCTCGCGCTCCGAGGTGGACGTGAAGCCCGGGGACTTCTTCGGGGAGCACACCATGCGCCGCGGCAAGCGAGAGATGCAAGGAGGTCGGTGCCTGGGTTCGTGGACTCGAAACTTCAAGCTGGCTGGGTTTGAGTTGGACGAACTATCAAGTTTGGACAGCTTTGGGCCTTGTCTCACTTAGGAAGTGAGACGAGGATTTCATGTTGGCCCCGGATTGAACAACCAGTCGAAAACACTAGGCGGAAGTGTTCCCCTCTAAAAGTCATCAACCCCCCCCACTAGTGGCACTCTCATTGTTCTGCAGCAAGGGTTACCATTCCACGAGGGTTTGGGTTGAACTGGAATCCTGGAAGCAGCTCATGAAGCCTCGCCCGTTGATGAGGGTGCTTGCCCGTTAAGTGGGGGGCAAGACCAGTAGAGGAGCAGCTCTCTGAAAGTTGTCATGGTTTTTGGAACATATCTCCCTAAGTAACCTGGGGACGAGGGGGTCAAAGTGGGGGATCCAAGAAAAGGACTGGTGGGAGGGGGCCACTTCAATGTTTATGTTTATGAGATTTGGGTTCTGTTGACTCATTCTTGTTTGGCGCTGCCCATGAAAGTAGCAATGGTTTTTGTGCTGCTTTACTCTGTTTTCAGGATTGTGTGTTTTGCTGGCTTTGTTGATTCATGATGTTCCGTTCTGTTCATTGATTGATTGCCTTATGTGTTCAGCGTTGTTGATGGTTTCTTCTGTTGTTTCGTTGTGATCGGCTGCATCATTTTAGCTATTGTTCCGTTTTGCTCATGAAAGTAACGGCAGTTGCATCGGTTCTGTCGGTTTCGCTAATTGCCGGTTTCTGATGATGTTTGCTTTTGTTTGAGTTCTGCTGCTTTGGTTTTTGATGTGCTGTTGGCAGTAGGAGTTGTTGCTAAGGCTTTGCGCATTTCCCTTGTTGCCTGCCTCAAAGTATCCAAAATAAAAGTAGGCTTTCTCTGAGTGCGGTGACATTTTATGGGGAACTGCAGGTTGGCCAGGTCTTTGTGTGTGCTAGCCAGGGGTGAACAAAAACATCGCCTTGAGGCTCTGGGGGTTCCGTCGGCGCATGACGGTGATAGCGTCAAAAGACTGCGACACCCCAGCGGTGGCTGGCAAGCTGAAGAGGGACGTGTACTTCAACATTGCGGCTCGGCCTCTTCGAACCCTAGGCTCTTTGTTTTGCAGGGTGCTCCCTTTTGAATCAAGTACCACCCAAGAAGGCGCCATTTCTCCCCGCGGCCACTGGAGGTCTGGGTTGCATTTGTTTGGGGGAGGTGGGATCCAGTGTCTGAAGTTGATACTTTTTTCAGATCTCTGGTTTCGATGCTCTGCCTTTTTGGATAGGCTCCTGGTCTGGGAAACCCATGGGCTCCGCCTCGGGTCCGTTCGAAAAACCCAGCAGACTGGTGCTCCCAAAAGTGTAGTTAATGGGGATTCCACTTGCCTCAGCCGAAAGGTAGAGGAAGGGACATCTTGGGGCGATTTTCTGTACACCAAGCCAAAAGCGGAAAGGGGTTGCCACTGCATGACTGGCTTGCTGATCGGGGTGTCCCCCAATTCCATATTTCTGGCCTTCCCTGCAGAAGTGGACATGGAACCAAGCATGACATTTCAGGCTGGCACACCGTGTTGTGCAGACCAGAATCGGTGAAAAATCCTGGTTGATTGAGAGGCGCCCCATTCTTGAGCTCGAGAGGATCCTTCACTTTTCGAGGGGAACACCTAGCAACTGATTCGGCGTCGACATGTTCACCACCCCCCCAGCGCCAGGTGACACGCTCTGCGATGCATGAGCGCAGCAAGCGGGAGAAGTACTTGCGCACGGGGGTGCCGATGTTCCGTGGGCTGATCTAGCAAAACCCCATCCGATCGGATCGGGTCTTCTTTGGTGCCGACCCGGAAATAAAGCTTGCACTTACTACTGGCCCCATTCTTTTACCATCAAAGTTGCCCCCGTCAGTGGTAGTTTAAAGGGACACACGCCCATATGCTGACTTTGACAACCCCAACAAAGAACAGTCAAAGAAATAGCCCAGTACAAAAGGGGGGGTCCCCTTTTAAATCCCATTCTTCCAATTAAGAAGTTTAATCAGTCGGACCCTTTCCTTGACCTCCAGGTGGCATAAGTTGGAATGAGTCCACTGCATGGCTTCATTATGGACCAGCAGGACCCAGAAAGGTTTTCGGAAGACCCTGTCAGAATGCATCTATTTGCTGGGAATCTCTCAGGGAATGAGTTGACGACGAGTTGAATCATTCAACTTGTGGCTTTCCGAAGGGGATCCTAAAGGTGTTTCCCAAATCTCCGAAGTTCATTTCCAAAGAGCCAGCAAGACGACGCTTCTCAGAGCGCTCTCCTGGAGAGGGGCGTTTGGGTTTGTGTCTGAAAGGGTTTGTCTCAAAATAGGGGACCCCTCAAAATGTGTGGTTTCCGTTCAGTCCCCCTTTAGACCACATCCGAATGACTGCATACCAGGCGTTGGGAGTGTTTTTTTTTTTGGGGGGGGGACGGTTCAAAGGCAGTCAGCAAGATCCCCGCTTTGAGGTGCGCACGAAGTTGGTCCGCTTTGTAGTGATTGACGCCCCCGATGAATCAATCCAAGGCTAAGTTGAATACAGGTGGAATGTATATAAAGGGGCCCGCTTTTTCAGGGGAACCAAGTGGCATCTGAAAACATACCCCCCCCCCCCCCTCCCTGCATGTTTGACATGGAGCCTCCAATGAACTATGCATTCTTGGGGGTTGGGGAGAAGGGAGCTCCGTGTTGGGGCAACCCATGTCAAAAATGCAAGGGAGTGACACTTGCAGAACAAGTCGGCTGTTTCTGTGGTTCCGCCAACGGCCTCCCCAGTTCTTCACTTGTTGGATCCCCAAACACCTCCCCAACACCCCCCGCCCCAAACACTCCCTTTTGGAAGAACGAAATCCCAAATCTGGAGGTCTATTTGGGGGTGGCAGGCGCAGTTTTAAGGAGAAGGCGTTTCTTTGTTCCAGGGATTTGGAGGATACCTGGATGCTAGATAGCCCATGTTGGTTAATTCCCAAGAAGCAGCGAGCAGGCAATGTGCAATTGTGTGATTTTCCAGACACCTTATTCGGGGCTCAGATGTGAAAACTTCTCAATCTTCCTTGAGTTGGTTTTAGTACGGAATTCAACATGGACACCACAAGGCAACACAACAAATAGGGATTCGCTCTGAGAAACACCCTCGTAGTCGCTTAGGTTTGAGACCTTCGATTCGGAGCTGATTACCACCATCGCGGACATTATGCGGAAGCGTAGCTTTGCGCCCGGGGAGAAGATTGTGCAACAAGGCCGGGACGCTGCTCTACATACTCATGGCTGTGGGCAAAATCGTGACATCACTACGAACCAACAGCACTAGGGGTTTGCAAGCTTGCTTGCATGGGGGCAATGTGTATTTTTGGTTGGTGAATTTAAACGGGAAATGATGTCTATCATGCTTTCCAGCTAGTGGGAATGGGGAATTGCTTTCCTGCCATCCAGGCGAGGAAGGTGGTGAGTTCTTCATCATTCTGAAGGGCGAGTGCGTTGCCACCATTAAGGTGGCCAAGGCGGGCTACCGTCGATCACCTTCGTTACGGGACGTAGGGTGCTTCCAACGATTTCGGACACATGCAAGCGGGGCAGCACACCGCATGGGTCACTAGTCATGGCGCTGCAGACGATTCTGCACCATCTTATTTGCACAAGAAAGGAATCCGACAAAACGCCAAGCCCCACTCAGAAGCTCTTTAGATGCGCTCCAATTTGTCATTGCCATTGTTTCCAACATTCCGCAGACCCTGGGGGGGGCGGGGGGGGGGGTATTGGGATGTACCACAATTTTAGCCACCAATCGCCACTTTTGCACAGAAAGCCAGCGAGCTTCGTGCAGGTATATACAGTCTATATACTGTTTTCAGAGTCCTGGAGGTGGATTGGGGGTAGTGGCTTCCTCTTGGAATCATGGTGGCTTCTAGAATAGCTCCTTTTTTTCCAGAAAGGAACCCACAGCAGCACCCTTCCCAACCACTGCTTTTTAGACACTGCTCGGGATTTTCGGACATGGGAAAGAAAATCAGTTTTTTCCCGAAAGCATCGCGAAGGGTTCTTCCGTGCGGAGCCCTTGGACAAGTTACATAGAGCCAAGTTACATAGAGCCAAGTTACATAGAGCCAAGTTACATAGAGCCAAGTTACATAGAGCCAAGTTACATAGAGCCAAGTTACATAGAGCCAAGTTACATAGAGCCAAGTTACATAGAGCCAAGTTACATAGAGCCAAGTTACATAGAGCCAAGTTACATAGAGCCAAGTTACATAGAGCCAAGTTACATAGAGCCAAGTTACATAGAGCCAAGTTACATAGAGCCAAGTTACATAGAGCCAAGTTAGGTAGAGCTTAGAGCTTCGGCGTTAGCAGCTATGTAAGTTAGTTTAGGTTTCTAAGGCGCCGGGGCGGGAGTTTGATCGTCGCTCGGGATTGCGACCCTCTGCGGAGATTCGCGTGGTCGAGGTTCAAAAACTGAGGACTTTTTACGATTTTAGCATGCGCGCGCGACCCTCTGCGGAGATTCGCGTGGTCGAGGTTCAAAAACTGAGGACTTTTTACGATTTTTAGCATGCGCGCGCGACCCTCTGCGGAGATTCGCGTGGTCGAGGTTCAAAAACTGGGGACTTTTTACGATTTCTGCGGTGCGCGCGCGACCCTCTGCGGAGATTCGCGTGGTCGAGGTTCAAAAACTGGGGACTTTTTACGATTTCTGCATGCGCGCGCGACCCTCTGCGGAGATTCGCGTGGTCGAGGTTCAAAAACTGAGGGACTTTTTACGATTTCTGCTGGCCGCGCGCGACCCTCTGCGGAGATCGTGCGTGTCGAGCGCTCTCGCTGTGGCGCCGTGCGAATTTGTCTTAGTCTCGGCGACCCTCTGCGGAGATTGTGCGTGTCGAAGCGCTCTCGCTGTGGCGCCGTGCAATATTCTTGCTCGCGAAACGGCCTTTGGAAGTTGTCTCGTGGTTTGCGCGCCTGCTTTCGCAATCCCGCGGTCGCGGGTTCGATTCCCCCCTGGTCCGCGGCAGCTCCGGCTTGAAAATCGCAGCTTTTAAGTACAAACGTAGTACGCGGAGCGTGCTCCTGCAGCTCCGGCTGGAAAATCGTAACTTTTAAGTGCAGACGTAGTGTGCGGAGCGTGCTCCCGCAGCTCAGGCTGGAAAATCGCAACTTTTAAGTACAAACGTAGTACGCGGAGCACACCCCCGCAGCTCCGGCTTGAAAATCGCAACTTTTAAGTACAAACGTAGTACGCGGAGCGTGCTCCTGCAGCTCCGGGTGGAAAATCGCAATTTTTAAGTACAGACGTAGTATGCGGAGCGTGCTCCCGCAGCTCAGGCTGGAAAATCGCAACTTTTAAGTACAAACGTAGTACGCGGAGCACACCCCCGCAGCTCCGGCTGGAGAATCGCAACTTTTAAGTACAAACGTAGTACGCGGAGCACACCCCCGCAGCTCCGGCAGCACTTGCGCAGAGCAACTTGCGCAGAGTCACTTGCGCAGAGCAACTTGCGCAGAGCAACTTGCACAGAGCAATTGCACAAAGCACTTGCGCAGAGCAACTTGCACAGACCAACTTGCACAGAGCACATGCGCAAAGCGCTTGCACGGAGCAACTGGCGCAGAGCCCTTGCGCAGAGCAACTTGCTCAGAGCACTTGCGCAGAGCAACTTGCACAGAGCAGGCGCAGAGCAACTTGCACAGACCAACTTGCGCAGAGCACATGCGCAAAGCGCTTGCGCGGAGCAACTGGCGCAGAGCACTTGCGCAGAGCAACTTGCTCAGAGCACTTGCGCAGAGCAACTTGCACAGAGCACTTGCGCGCAGCAGCTTGCAGAGAGCAACTTGCGCGCAGCAGCCTGGAACAATGCAGCTTGCGCAGACCACTTTCGTGAGAAATCGCGCGGCGCAGTTCGAGAGGAAAGTAGGATGATGAGATGGAGCTCTCATGTGACCATACACACTGAGCATCGCCGCGCGCAGACACGCTCGCCGCAGCGATGTAAAAAGGTGTCTCCTCGGCTGGATGAGCACCTGTGGAAAAATGCTTTCGGGCCAATCGTCCTCTAGTGCTGGGGTCCTGGCAAGTTGTTTCTTGGACATTTGTCAAATATGGCTGTGGGTCAAAGTTATCAACCCCCTATTTTGGGATGGCCAAATATTGAAATATGACCATTGTTGTGGAACCATTGGTGCCCAACTCTTGACCCATACGCAAAGACGTCCCACGGAAAAGTTTTTCCGTTCGAAGCTCTCCGAGGTGGGCGCGGATGGCTTCGAGGAGCACCCGGTGAGGTACTACAACAAGGGCGAGCGCTTCGGGGAGTTGGCCTTCATCAACCGCACCCCTCGGGCGGCCACGGCGGCTCTCTGAGGAAAAGACGGAGAAAAAAAGGGGAAGGAGTGGATTGAGGGCATCTTGGTGTTGTGTCTTCCTTGGCTTCTGTGGTTGGTTGTTTCTACTTTTGTTGTTTGTTTGTTTGTTTGTTTGTTTGTTTCTATGTCTGCTAAGTCTGTTGGTTTGTTGGTTTGTTTTTGTGTGTTTCTATGTGCTCTTTTTTGGCGGGGGGGGGACCTCTTTAAAATCAGCGACCGGAAATAGTGTGCGTTTTTCCCTCTCTCTTTGTTTTTTTTGTGGGGGGGGGGGGGTTAAATATATGTTCTACTTCCATCTGGTTAGCAGATTGGGGTTATATTTGAACTTTCAAGCTTGTTGGAGGTTAGCTTTGGGTGCTCCCGCACCCTCAAGGACAGGTTCAAATCCACGCCGGCGAGCCGAACGGAGGAAGCGGATTTAGACCTGAATGGATTCCTATGGGTGTCCGGGCTCGCACATTCGGCGGACCCCCAACATGATTGGTTTCCTTTTAATTTCCCTTTGACAAACCTAAAGAGGCAAAGAAAGGCCCAAATGATTGGTATCCTAGTTTTCCTTTAAAACCAACCTAAGGGGGTAAAACTCAAAATGATTAGCTTCTTCTTCATCTCCCTTTGACACCATCCTAAAGGGGCTAAGCAAGACCCACATTATGGGTGTCCTTTGAGTTTTCCTTCAATTCAAAACCAATGTAAAGGGGGTAACAGAAAGGCCAAATGATTGGTTGCTTGGATTTCCCTTTATAAACCAACCTGAAGGGGCTAGAAAAGACCCAAATGATTGGTGTCCTTCTAGTTGTCCTTTAAAACCATCCTAAAGGGGTACAAAAAGCAAATGATTGGTTTCTTTTTTCGCTTCCCTTTGAAAGAAGCCTAAACGGGCTAACAAACCGCATGTTTTGTTTCTTGTTCGTTTCCCTTTGAAACCATCCTAAAGGGGCTAAAGAAGACCCAATTGATTGGTTTCCCTTTCAAACTAACCTGCAGTGGCTAAGCAAGACCCAAATGATTGGGTTCCTTGTATTTTTCCTTTAACACCAACCTAAAGGGAATTCAAAAGACCAAATTATTGGTTTCCTTTTGGTTTCGCTTTGAAACCGCAAGCCAAAACTCCAAAACAAAGACCACCCTCGGTCTGCACGCCTTGTTGTTCGCAGAGGTCACCGCCAACACCAACGTCACCGTGTTGAGCCTTGACAGGGCTGTCTTCGAGCGGGTGGTAGGCGCGGACGTCTTCGTGGCGATTTCTTAGGTAGGTGTTGTTAAATAATAGCTGGCACTGGTTTAGCTTGGTTTTATACCTTTTGCCAGGGCCATCTATTTTTTGATAAGGTCACCTAGGTTAAGCGGCTGTTGACCCCGGATCGAAGTAGATCCAGTTGTTACCCTCCAACACTGATGAACTCCCAGTAAAGCGGGCAACATCTCCTATGAATCGATCAGGGGGTTATCAATCTGCTTAACATTCTCCGAACCCAGCTTTTCAAGCCAGCAGCAACGTGGCCAGGCCACCGATGTTAAGGCCTTCCGGCTGCAGCTGGGTTTTCCACCAATAATCACCATGGTCTTGCTTGACGCACTTCTCCACAACCCATTTCAATTGCCTGATAGTAGGACGGGTCCTTACAAAAAAGAATTGCATTTTTAGCGGTTACTCCATGCGACATGAGGACCTTGGCCCCAACTCTTCAAGCCATTCCCAGGGGCGGACGGGATCAATGAAGGGGAGCACCCGGATTCTTTGGGCGCCTCTTTGCCAGCTGGTCAGCAAACCCTTGAGCTTGTATCCAACTTGGCCAGGGCTGCCGATCGGAGTTCTGGTTAGGGACATGGATCATGGTGGAATCGAGGAAGGGCGTGGTCTTCACAAGGGGCTAGCCTGGGCAGGATCCCTCAACCATGAGCCGGGGTTCACTTGACAGCTGGTGTAATCCGATCGGTTTTCTTCTTCAGAGGGTGGTGATCCTAGTGAGGGGATGTGAAGGGGCGCTTCCTCTTCTTTCGGCTGCATTCAAACGCCTTGCCTCAAGGCAGGCCAAACGCCATCGTGTGATACGGGCCCCAAGTTTAAAGCGAGCCAGGCTCGCTGGACATCAAGCAGAAGGAGAACTATGCCAGTGACTTGTCCTGCCATGTTCATACGGCTGTGCCTCAGAAGGATGCACCAAATTCGCACCTGTGAAAATAGAACCAAAGACTGGCTCTTCACATTTGAGCCACACCCAGCTCGCCTCAAAATCATCGCCCCGCTTTTCTGAACCCCTCCCTGGCTCGGGGGGTAGCACTTTTCGGATGATGCTTGAAAGGGAACGAAGCAAGCAAACTACACAATGTTGGGCTCCCAATTTTGGAGCCCTGTGTGGTGGGTTGAAACATCACCTTTCGGTGCATTGTTGCAACCACCCAACATGCTTTGTTTTATGTACATTTTTTTGTGCGAACCATTTATGACAGCTGGATTGACCTTCAGACAGGTACCCCGTTTCCCAAGAGGTAGGCAAGTACTTCCCGGACAGAGTGCCAAGAGCGGCAAGAGCGACCAGCGGAATCAAGCTTAGATCATTCTGGGTGTCTGTGGGAAATCCGCAACGGAAATCTCACATGGGCCGACCTCAGAGTTTCCCAAACGATCCCTGCCGTGCGGCGAGATTTGCCATCCCCCCACCTTAAAAATGGGAGTGGTGCTGGGATTCCATTTCCGGTTCCATCTTTTGTTCGAACCTCCCCACTGTCTCATGGTACTGCGGGTGGCCGAAATCCTGCACCACTTTGAAGCCATGGGAAACCAGTGATTGTCGGTGTTTACAGGGGAGTCATCATTCCAGGTTTTGTGATGTGCAGGATTGTGTCCATCCACAGTGAATCCACAGTAGGGGGGATGATTTACCCCTGGCGAGCCACACTCAAAACCCGGGTAGATGAACGTGAGCAAGGGCCAATCCCAGCCATAAATAGCTGCGGCCGCCTTCTTAGTTCTTTGCATGGCTCCGGGTTCACCATTTGAATACCGGGTTGTGATTGTGGCTCAGGTGACCCCCGGAAGATCTTGGCGGACTTCTACAGCCCCGGCACTGGCCTTGGCCCCTGCGGCGCGGTGCCGCACTCCGCGACTTCCAAGTCGTCGGCGTGGTTCGCGGTGTACCGGCCCACCAGCCGCGACGCGCTCGCGAAGCGGCCCGGAAGGATCCGGGCCGGAAAAGCTGTGGAAAGGGGAAAATAAGGGCCATGTGGGCCATGTGGCCATGTCTTCGTTTTGGAGGCTACCCAGTTTTTTTGGTGGGTGTATAGGGAAAAGGGACAAATTACAACTTTGGGGGGCCCATCTCCGTACCAAGCAAATCCCCTCCCAGAAAAGCAAAGGTGGGAAGGCCATATTGGTATCACCGGGGTTGTTTTCCAGGCGTCTTTGTTTGTGGGGGTGGGAGGAGGTTCTCAACATTACTTGTTTTTTTTGTGGAAGAGGGGTGGGCGGCGGGGGGGATGTCGTTTTGGAAAGCTAAGGCTGCTAAGGACGCCTAGGAAGAAACATGGGCCGCGTTTGCAAGTCGGTTGGCTCGTTCTTTTCCTTTTGCAGCCCTGGGCTCTTCAACTGGGGCCTCTTATTTATTGCTGTTCATATCTATCTGTATATATATATATATATACACATATATGTATCTGGAGGGGTCCAAATTTGGCCACAGGTCTCCCTAGGAACGGCTTGCAGAGGAGCAATATTGGCCTTAAGTCCGTAGGCACGGTCACCAAGTCCAACCTGAGCTGAAAAAGCCATGGCTCATGGCACTCAAGTGATCAGACCCCTAAGGTGAACCTGGAAAACAATCCAGCTGTTTGGTTTAGTTTGCTTGACGCTTACCCCCACCCGGCAGCAACCAGCAACGATCAGTCGTTTTGTCAGGGTTTTCGGAAGACAAGTATCAACTCTTGAAGGGTTGTTTTGAACATCAGAAGTTTGCTTGCCAACGTGAAGTGACCTGGCGTTTTGGGGCCGGTGGCTTCCAAGGCCGCCGGCCCCCCTCCCAGCCCAGGATGCTGAACCTTTCGGCGGTAGGGAAGGGGCTCAACGTGAAGGGCAAGTCCGCGAAGCGGAACCAGCTGTCAGGCGGAAACGAATTTGGAAGTGACCCAGACCAGGGGCCAAATGGGCCCCAATGTGTGTGTGTGTGTGTGTGTGTGTTTTTTGGAGGGTACCCATTTTGGCATGGGTTAAAGGGAAGCCAAAAGGAAAAACACTCCTTTCTGGGGGTCCCCCATTTAAAGACACACCCACATGGGTTTAAACACCTGGATGCTAGTCCCCTTGAAAGGGCAGAAAACCAATAGTATATGTTTAAGCATGCTTAAAGGGGTTGGCCCCACTCTGCAAACCACCCACTCCAAGCATAAGCCTTAGGGGAGCCAGGGTTGCCTGGAGCTGGCTAATGAAATCGGGGTGGATTTCCCTTGCCGGCAATTGCTATGAGCAAACCTGGAGGCCATTGGAAGGTTTTATCCTTTCTTTGGTTTCCCTTGGCCGAAGACATTTTTGCTTATCCTTGTGCTAGAGGTTTCGGAGCAAACCTGAGGGTGATTGGAATCCCCCCGAGCAGAGATCCCTGGACGGCCCACAAAGGGGCATGTCCCCTCATTTGGGTGCCCAGAATGGCGCATCCTTCCTCAACGACGGTCCAGGCTTCGTGCCCTTCGTGCAGATCAGCAGCAACCAACACAAGCGGAAGCTGGGCCCAAGCCCTTTGAACTCCCGGGTGACCGTGTACTTCCAGACCCACGAGGCGCCCGTTGGCTTCTGCTGCAAGCGGAAGGGGTCCATTTTGAGAAACCTGCATTTGGGTGAAGGTAGACCCGCAAGGATGATTCATAGGTCCCGATTCCCCCCCCCCCCCCCGCCCCGCCCTGTTTATGCCCCGGCCCGGGGAAGCTTAAGCATGTACGGGCTAAATAAATAGAGAAATAAATGGATAGATAAATCAATCAATGACTAAATAGCTCTACATGTATATATATATATATATTTTCACTACATATGTAGATGCCCGATTTGCCCTGAAGACTGATTTGTGGTTTGGGTGCAGAGGAATGGTTTGAGCTCGATTTAGCTTACGACCTTTTTAGTTGCATGTGTGTATATATATATATATTCTTTGAACCCGAAAGCAAGAAAGCGAGGGGGGCCCTGTTTTTGTCGACGCCTAGTTGCCAAGTCTCTTTTTTTGCTGGGCCCATGCACCAGATGGTCACAGTTTTGAGGCTAAATAATCGATCCGTTTGCGGGTCGAAGAACATGGATCCCCACGAAAATAGGGGGAGTTGTTCCAAACTCGAAGGCGGCGGAGCTGGCACGCCTGGAGCTGGACAAGGCGGGCACCTTGTTGTGACCGAAAAGACGCATGTTACATAATTGGTTGCCACCCCCCACTCCCCCCCAACAACATCCTTTTCTTCCCCGTCCAAAACTCCAAGTCCCAAAAACAGTGGTTTGGGGGGGGGGTTCTGGATTGGCTGCAGGTTTCTGATATTTGGGTGAACCCGCCAGACCTGCGGATTTGTGTGCGGAAGCGCGCAGGCGCGGAAGGTCCTCAGCACGGAACGAGAAATGGAATGACCCCGAGTTAAACCATCCAACTGGTGGCTTCCTTTAAGGGAATCCCGTTCGGGTTCATTGACCCGGAAGGCCATTCCCTACTGAGCAACGAGATAGATGTCCTGTTTCGGTTTTCCTAGAAAGCCATGGCCATTCCTGGTTGACTGATCGGTTGTTTCATCATCTAGGGCCATCGAGTTTCCCCAAAAGCACGCCTATGGTCTAGAGTTTGTAACCATCGAAGTTGGATTTGTTTTGCACCTGTTGTTGTAGCAAGCAAGTTATGCAACCTGGCTTGCCCATGCCACATCATGCTCAAACTTGAAGGCAGATTGGTTTGGTTCCTTTGGTTGTGCCTGGGTTGGGCCCTTTGCCGACCACCAAGCTACTCTTGCTGTACATCTTATTTGGCTTTGGGGCAGGATTCCTTGGAATTGCTGATAAATTCGCACCAATCACCCATGGTCCACTTCAACGGTATCTTCAAAGGAGCTTGTTGAGCAAAATGCGGTGGTTTAACTCACTTGCCCAAAGCGAATCGACATTTCAACATGTTGGTTTCGCTGATTTGGTCGCACATGTCTAGTCAAGGTTCCAAAAGCTCCTCCCTCCCTCCCCTCCCTCCCTCCTTCCTTGGGGCAAGTGACGTAGGCCATGTTTGCCATGGCTCGCTCAGGTGATGCGGGAGCTGAGCCACCTGGACCTGGAGCCCATCACCAGCGAGGCCGCCGGGGGGTCTCGGGTGCCCTTGGGGGAGGTCGTGGAAGGTCGAAACAGAAAGGGCGCAAGGGGAACATCGATATGGGTATGAGTGAAAATCAAAACCGCAGGTTTTAGTCTGCTTTTTTATAATTTAGCGGTGTTTAGTTTGGCGTTTGGGAATACGCAGGGTGGTTGTACACGTTGCCTTTGTGTTGGAAAGGCATGGGTGTGAGAGACCTTGAAGGATTCTTTGCAGCCCCAAGGTGGCGCGTTTGATGCAAGCGCCGAAACACACACGAGTGCATAGTCAGGACTTCGATCGATTGTTTTTCAGCCGCAACTCGGCTATTGATTTCGCCCCTCAGCATTTTACACGACACACCTCTGAGCAGGTGCCAACGAGCTTAGGGTTAAAAGAGGTCATCCATGATCCTTTGGTAGGGACTCCTCAGCCTCTGGCCTGTGTTTTGTGTAAGTTGGCTAGTAGATTCACGTCCATTTTTTCCATAGGCGTGCGGTATCCACTGGGAGGTCTTGTAGTTTGGTCTTGCAGGAATTGCTCAAAACGATTCGTGCCCGTGACGTGCTGGAGTTTGAAAGCAGGGAGGCGTTTAAGTGTCTGTTTTACTTGAATCGCTTCATCATCGGACGACGAAGGCCCAAACAGCTCAAGAACTCAGGTCATTGATGGAAGGTTTGCGGTGGTTGAAACCCACCGCAGTCTTATGACTGCAGGGGTAAGTCTCAAAATACGGCCCCAGAAATGGCATCGGTTTTCTTGTTGGTGCCTCTTTGAACCAACCTGAAAAGGGTACCAAGCCTCAAAAAACAATCCCCCCAACCCCCCTCCCCACCCCCGCAAGAAACAGATACCACCCCACAACAAAAGCAAGCACCTCCAAACAACACCTGTAACCCGTCTTTCTTTTGGTTTTCCTGCTACCCCTCAAACAATTTCTCCCCCCCCCCCCCCACCCACGTGTGAGTCTTGCACACACCCCACCCCCTATTCTGGGTGTTGGTTTTTTTTGCGTCCTCGGCGTCAGGACTCCTACGAGGTCTGGGGCTTGGAGGTGCCGGAGCGCGTGCTCCGGGAGGCCTTCATCGACCGCCAGGACGTCACCTTCCAGGCGCCGCCTCGCGGGCCGCTGCCGGCGGGTCGGTCGGCGGGTCGGCCGGCGGGAGGCGCAAAAAGGCGTCCGGTAAGGCGACGGGAACCTGAAGAGTTCCCCATGGTACCCCGCGTCTTCCGGATCTCCAGGGTTGGTCTTTTAGACCTTGGGCCAGTGGGAAATTCGATTTGGACCGGGCCCCTCATAGAATTTTGGGGACCTGGAGCTGCATTTCATCGGTCACGAGGCGAACCCTGGCCTCGACAGCATCAGTGGCTCCCAATTGGTTCCATTTTGCGAGGGCCCCTTCTCACAAGCACTTTGGGGTGCTTCGGATCCGCGGCTTTAAGCCTCAATTCAGGTGGCGGTTCCCTTCAACCATTGAGGTCGGGCACCCCTTCAAAACACCATTCCATTCAGGTGAAGGGGGACCCCATCAAACCAGACTTCCAGTGCAGATTGCCGTCCCCTGAAAACCACGTTCCCTTCAACAATGGAGGTTGGGCCCCTTTAAATCACCACGCAGGTGGGGGCACACCTTCCACCGCACTTCCCATTTCGCTTCAGAGTTGATGTCAGGTGGGCTGGGAGACGGGCCGAGCCTCAGAGCCCGCCTTTATGGAGATGAACCTGCATGCGCCTGGACTCGCTGCTGTTGGTGTTTTTTTAAAGGCTGAGAGGTCCACCGAGACCATTTTGACCCTTCAAAAGCTGATTTCCAAGAGCCATAAGTATCGGTTAGTTAACCCAGAAACTGGGGCAGCATACTACGGGTTGGTATATGGACGATCATGGCGCGTCTTATTTTGGCCCCGCTTTCAAATCCAACAGAACGGAGTACCAAGCCTCAAAGAAAGACCCAGTCGCTGGCTCAAAATTGGGGACCCAGACCGATCCTTCGTCTGGGGGAGGCGACATCTTGCCGAATCCAAGGGCGATCCAAGGTGATGATGTTGACCTTTGGTAGTCATGTGCCTCACCACTCTGAAGCCAGAGATCCGATTTTGTGCAATAAACCACTCAAAACAGTCGCGCAAAGGAAGCTGGATGGAGGTTTCAAAGAGCGATGCTTGAGTCGATTCCAAATTAATCCCTAGACTACTCCCTTTGCTGGCTTGGGATCAATCCGGAGGATTCCTTTCATCCAAGGAATCCCTTTCAGTTTCCAAGTCCAGTGTGGCAAACCCAAAGCTTAGTTTTTTTTCGTATGCTTGGGATACAGTATGTATACCTGAAGTTCACACTTAATTGGTGGTTTGGATTGGTTGTTTGCTATTCTTTCTTTGTTGGGCTATTCCGGGGAAACAAACTAATTCTTCGGGATAAACAAACGCAGCTTCCCCCCCCCCCCAATTTTGAACAACATAACTCGATAGATTGATAAACATACGCTAAGACCAGCACACCACTAATCCCAAGCAATGCTGAACAACACAAACTAGAATCTTAAAAGGGGCAGACACACCCAGAATAGCAAACCACCAATCCAAAGCGCCGATTAAAACAGCAGCCACCGCCACCACCGCCGCCACCACCGCCACTACCACCACCACCACCGCCACGACGACCAGCAGCAGCAACAACAGCAGCAGCAGCAGCAGCAGCAGCAGCAGCAGCAGCAGCAACGGCAACAGCCGTGAGGGAATAGTCACAGTTAGATGTTCGCAGCTCGCTGCATGCGCTGAGGCAATACGCAGCAGAAGTCTCCCCAAGGTGGTGCTTTACCAATATGCGGCCTGGCAATTTTCAGCGCGGCATTTTGTTTGTCGGTGTGAAATGAGCTAGCCCCGCACAATCATTCAGCAAGTTTGGCCTTGATTGGCCTCAAAAAGGATGATGTGCGAATTCGTTTGGCGGCTCTCCAAGGGTGAGCGGGGTCGTCCACTGGCAACCCCAGCTGCGTTTCCTTTCCCGGCCGTTCCTTTTTGGGAGCCCACCTCTGCCCCCAAAAAGGCAGGCGTTTAAGGGTCAATTGCTGCAATACCAAGTGGCTCCCATTTTGAGTGACGCCTCTTGTGGGACAAACCATGGAAAAATGACGCTCCACGTGAGCAGATGGCGCGCGGGTCCGAGGACAACTGCAACCCCATGAACCCGCATGGGCTTCTCATCGCCTATGCCGAGGCGAAGGTTAAGCCAGTGGTCTCGGCCCCTTGGCAAGATGGGCGCCCACCGAACGGGCGTAGATTTATGAGCTGTTTCGGGTTTTCTGTTTTGTCTTTGCTTTATGTGTTTTTTCTTGGGTGGGGGAGGTTGTCGAAGCGAGCCTTTTTGGGATCTCGAAGTGAGCTGGTTTGCAATTTTGAAGAGGGCCTTCGTTTGGGGCTTAAAGTAAAGCTTTAGTTTAGAGATTGTGAAGTGGGCCTCAGTTAGGTGGTTTTTCTCTTTTGGGGGGATTCTCTACAAGTTGGTTTCACCCCCGTCTATTTGCAGGACCCACTGCCGGCGGCCATCGCTGCCCTGGCTGTGAGTGGTTCCCATGACTCCTGGAAACTGATGCTGGGATATGTTTGTCTGCTTCCCTGTGGTTGGTGATTTGGAGCTCGGTTGTGATTGAGCTGACGTCGGATAGAACAAACGGAATCCGAATGGGCGGTGCCAGTCCGCTTGCTCACACATGCATGTCAGGAAAATATTGGCATATGACTGTCATTATGCATGGGGGGGCCTATTTACACATTCTCACATGTATATATCTATATACATATAGATGTATATGTATCTTTGTATATGTATATGTATATATATATATATGCATGCTTGTTTATTTGTTTATGTGTGCAGCATAGGTAAAAACATATGCACACTTCAAATTTTACATTTACTGTATGTGTACAAGTTGTCTAAGCGGGTGGCTTTGGCTTTCATCAGATTCTGCTAGGACTTCGACACCTTTACCATTGGGAGCCGGGGCATGGTCTACGAGCCGATCTGCGAGGAGCAGTGCGCAGCTTGCCCAGAAGACATCCTGCACGACCCGCTCAATGCGTTGGAATTTCCTTAGCCGGGGTCACACGCGCAAATCACCGGGGTGTAATGCAACTAATCAAAGGACCCTCTTCAAGCGCTCGATGATTGATGCTGGGAAAAGGGTGCCATCCTGCGTCTCAACAGTGATGTGGGGGCTTTCCTGTCATCGCCCTGACAATCAACCGACCCCAAGAGAGTAGTTACCTTCCAAAATGCCGAGACAGAAAGGTTCGATGAGAACCCTTGATTGGAACCCTTCAGGGGTGACCTTCAGTTTCCTCACTGTGACCAAGTCACGGCAAAGACAATGGTCAAAGGCACATTCTCCCCTAAAAAGAGCCAAGCAAGCAAAATGCACAAACATCATGCTCAAACGCTTCAAATAAACACTTCTGGATGCCGAATTCCCCCCCAAGTGTTCCCCTTGCCTGGCAGCAATCCCTGAAACCGGCACGGGGTGTTGATTCCTCATTCCCCCCAGAACCGCGGAGAGTTCCTCGCCCAGTTTTTCTAAAGAAGGATGGGCGCTAAATAGACCCAATCCATGTCCTTTCCGTTGCCCTTTCTTGGGGGACAAGAGGCCGGTTGTTTCAACCGAACCATTTTGCCCACCTCACCCCCCACCTCCCCACCCCCACCACTCCCCGCCCCACCCCCCCACTTCACCCCCCACCACACCCCCACCTCCCCACCCCCCGAATCCGCCGCACCCCCCCCAGCCGTGAGACGCCGAGGCGCTGATGCGGTGGAGCCTGGACTGCACGGAGCGGATTTTGCGGCACCCTGGGCACCAGGGCTGGAACTCCCGATGGCTGGAGGCCGAAAAAAACCGAGCCATGCCTTGGGTTTGGATCGGGAGGGTGTGCCTTGGGGAGGGCGAAATCGATGGATGGGAGGGTGGATTTTTTCTCCAAATTCTGCTGCGTGCCCTCTAGAAGTGGTTGGGATTTCAGGGGTTTGGTCGAAACATTGGGGGTGCTTCTTTTTGCCAACAGCTTGGAAGCGTTGGGGGTCGACCAAGAAGCTCCGGAGGCTCTGTGGAGGGCTTCTGTTTTGAAACCGGAAGCCCAAATGCAGAGGGTACCATTTTCTGGGTTTGAGCGGGGGATTGCAACAAGGGTTCCATGTTCTGTTGCCAATGACAGAAAATAGATGTTACTCATAAAGAGGCCGGGTTGGGTGATTGGGGTTTAATTGGCTTTGGCGATTCTTGTTGAAGCCCAAGCTTGAACCACGGTCATTTCCATCGAATGTTTGCATCCATCCGCGTTTGTGTTTCTTGGGTTCGTCCCATTTCGTTACATCAAGCAACAATATATGTGTGCTAAGCCAAAGTGGGTGCAATGGTTGATTGAGGTTGGCCCCATAGTGTCTCGAAAGAGGAACTTCCATGTCTGCAGGGATTCCGTAATTCCGTTGGCGTGTCTCTACTTTTGGGGATGCCAAAAGGAAACCAGCTTTTTGGGGGTATCCCCAACTTTTAGATGTTAGTACTTGTGCCAAGTTGGAGCCCACGGAAGACATGGATGAACACTAAAGCTTAAACCGGGGGTGTCCCTCAAACAAGTGGCACTTAAATCCGGAGCCGCAGGTCCTGGAGAAGGCGGACAAAGAAGGCGGGCTGTGGGTAGAGGCATATAGTAGGGCGTCACCAGGTGTGTACACACATGGCGGATGATCTATAACTCAACATTGCCGGATTTTTGGATTCTTCGCTTAAAAACCGTTCAAAGTGGCTTGTTCGATTTCTCGTTTGAGTTGTTTACATCAGCCTGTAATCCGCATGGCAGAAGGTCGGGGCTTTCCGTGTTGTGGTGGTGTCCTATGGGTGTGCTTCGGATTTTTCCCAGTTTGAAGAACCCCGCTATTGTGAGAACCCCTATGTTACAACTATCGAAGGGAAACCGAAGGACACCATCCATTTGTTCGTCACTTCCGATGGAGAGGCCATTTCGTGGATGAGGGAGGCTCCTGAGGAGTGTGCTTGTCGCTCTCGAAGGTGGAGAGCATGTGTTTGTTGTTCCTTTTGTTTGGGGGCCTTTGTCGTTGAAAGCGACTACCAGCGAAAAGGTATGTTTTGTGGCAGTTTCTGTTTTCGACTGCGGAATTTCAGGACGCAGTACCAGTACCAAGATCAATTGCTCAGAGTTTTGCAGTCTATCCCCATTTCCTTGTAGGGAGGAGAACCCACATCCTTGGGGTGGCACCATGGTTGCCCTTGGCGGGTGCTGCGACACAATGTGTATCCAGGGGTCCCTATTTCCAGCCTGAACGCTTGTTGCAACCACCTCCTGTTGGCTTCCCCTCGAACAGCCAAGGGTTTGTCAATTCCTGAGTTCATGGATTTTCCAGTTGTTGGGAAGACCATTTGAATGGCAAACAAAAAGCTTGAACATTCACTCAAGGAGTGACGTTCTTCAAGCAAGTTGTGCGGCCCAGCATCACCAAAGGCTCGTATGGCTTGTCAGGCTTCCACCCAGAGATCCCGGAATTTGGCTTCGGCGATCCCACGTCGTACAGGTTGACCAAAGCTGCCGCTGTGGCTGAAGCTATGTTGGCTGGGGACACTATGACGAGGAAGGGCAAAACAAAATGGTTGTATTGTGGGCCCAGAGATTTGGAGCCTCGCAGGGTCCATCTGTTGAGTTGGCTTGGGGCAAGGCGGAGCGAGACCCCTGGCATTTTCCCTTCATGTCCCCGTTGGCGAAGGCCCGCTGGGGACTAGGTACAAGGAAGGGGGCGCCACGCCTATACGCCCCTCATCCAAGGCAGTGGAGATTGTCATAGTGAGGCATGTTGGGCTACGCTGAACAGGGGGATGGCGCCCGGTCTCCCCTTCACCCGTGAACTGCTTTGTTTTTTCATTTGGCTTTGGGGGGGGGGGGATGGAACGCACTGCTTCAGTTGGGCCAAACGAGGGGAGTTTTCCGTCAGCTCCACGTTTGCACCAAGTGTAGATACTTTGAGAACCAACTGTTTATCATGCATCTATCTCGATTCGTGTACTCTATTTCAATTGGGGGTACCAATTTGTAGATGGAGTGGAGGGTATGATCGCGCCCTCACGCGCGCTGTCGAGGTCATCGAGGCCACCAAGATGTGTGGGGCGGTACGGCACGGCGCCGAGTGCTTCAACTTCTACTTCCCACAGGCGACTTCCAACCCGAGGTTGCAGACACATGTGCAAAGAGGATGAAGTGGACCACACTTTTGGGGATGAAAAGGCAAAAGGGCTTTACCTTGGGCAAGGGAAGGCATTCTCAAGAGCCTGTTGCTTAAACAAACTCCCCTTGTCTTCCCTTTATGATTTTGACCCAAGCCTGGTACCTCAACTAATCAGAGGGCACCAATCGGATTCTTCAGGGGACCCCGGGCTAAGCGCCACTCAGATCTCATAGCTGACTCACGGACCTGAAGCGAGCTTCTGTCAGCTTTACACGAGGGAGGGAGGGCTCAAGGTGAGCGAAGTCACGGACCGTCAGAAGCACCTGGGCTTTTGAGGATTTCGCCCAAGCTGAAAGAGTTGCCTCCATTTGCCAAAATAAACACTTTGCGTTTTGCCCAGTTTATTTTTCCTTTTTTATGGGAGTCCAGTTCACTACGTACTGGACATATGCTCTCAGAAGCAAAAGTTCGTTGCATCCTCCACTGGCCAGGAGTTGGACTGCGAGTACCTAATCATTTGGGACGGCTTCGACGGGAAGCCCTGGGCCTACCGCAACGCTTCAGGCGATTCCACGCGAAAACCTCCCGCGCGGACGGACCAGGGCGACCCGAAGGGCTGGAAAAAAGCCGGGTCAAGATAGGCAATGTAAGGGTCTGTTTGTTTAAGGTACAAACACGGTGTTCTGGTTTTGGTCATGCTGATTTTTGTTGTTCCTCGGGAAACACCTGGGGGTAGAACAGGCCCACCCACAATTTACTCGGGACGCCCCTGATTTTCGGTGTGTCCAGCTGGGTATGTTTCTTTTGAGCTGGTACCCGAATTCATCCATTTTGTGGGGTCGCATGTCCCAGTTTGTGTCTTGCTTGCCGGGTTGATTCCTAAGCGGCTGAGCGGATGCCGAGATGCCCAATCTTGAAGGTCAGAGGTGACAACGCCCCAACTTGTGCATGTTTCTTTGGAGCTGGTACCCTTTCTGGGATTGCTTGCATGAACATCTCGAGATCAATTATGTGAGACAAACCCAGTTGAACGGGGCGCGCCGCCTGATTGTTCTAAACCGGTGGGTTAAACAGGGCTGGGAATGACCATGACAGAAAAGGTTCACAGGGCAAAACAACAAAAGTTTGCCAAGACAGGTGTTTACAGGGGGTAAAATGGGGTAAAAGCAACACGGAGGAAGGTACAAGCGGAGTGTCAGAAGATAAATCTTGCCTGCCCAGTTGGGTTAGGAGGTAAAGTCATTCCCTAAGTGATACGTTGTAAAGAAGGGAGGCCATACCGGGGCCCAACACAGGGACTCTAAGCAAAACGACTCATGGAGCACGGCTCTACCAGTTGGGCTGGGACACTCCAGGAAGCAACATGCGCAAGAACATTGGAAGGGTTCTGGTTTTGAGTCACATTCCTTGTCCCTTCTGAAGAAGGGCGCCTTCGAAGAGGTTCCGCATTGAGCTCTCATTGTTTCTGCGGGGACTCGTCTGTCAACCGGGGAGGTGTCAAGGTACGGAGAGTGGGGTCCCACGCCCAAAACTCAACCACCGACAAGCAGCCACGCCTCAAGGCGAAATGAACCCGAAGCCAATCTGAGAGCAACCGCAAGTAAGCTCAGCTGCCAAACTGATCGAAATGATGTGCATGATGCTGGGAATGCCCCTGGCCCACGCCAGGAACCAAAGCACCTCCACCAGAACGGGAATACCATAGTTTTCCCCGAAAGTGGTTAACTTATTTTCCAAAGAAGTGCGATCAGCGAACCGAGGACTCGAATCAAGACCCCCATCACCACCAATCACGGGAGCAGTCAGTTGGGTATGGGCCAAAATTACACCACCAGGGGACCGCAGGTTTTAGTCTTTGGTTCCATTCACCAGGGCAACCCATTTGGTGTACCTATTTTTGACCCACAGTTTGCCAGGCCTCTTGGAGTTTCTGCTGGAGCGTGTCAGCGATGGCTACAGCTTCCCCTTGAACCCTGCGGCTTTGCCAAGGGTTTTGGCTGCGGCACGGATGCCTTTGTGTCTCCACCCCTCTTCCCACAAGCGTGGCATTTGTGGAGGGTACCTGGAAGATTAGTTGCCTCTTAAAGGGAACCCCCTTGTCAGGTTTCGTGTTGGTGGGAGGGAGGGTATATTTTCGGAGTGGCCATGAAACAGAAATCTCAACAAAATACCCCGGCTTTGGGCCGAGGAGAGCAAACATGAAGCCTTAGCTGTGGGAAGGGGCTGGTTTCCTACCACTAGGCTTGGCGGTTGGATTTTGTGGGTTCGCTTGCATCTGGCGGCGGCTTGATCCAAGACCCTTCCAGTGTAGCGGACGGCGCCGGGGTTTGTAGGGACCCTTGAAAGATACGACACTTGCCATTGAGAACATTTCCAGCGGAGCACAAGGAAGGCACCGTTTATTGAGTAGTCGGTTGAGTTTTGACAGCCAGAATGTCACGGGGAAATTGAGAGTGGTGCCTCTCACTCTGGGACTTTGTGCCATCTGTTTTACATTTGCTTTGCCATATCTCCATCCCTTTAAAAGTGCAATTGGGGGACGCCCTAAAGTGGATGCCTTGGCAGCGGTTTTTCGGGGATTGCTTCAAATCGGATTGGATCCCATTTTGAGCCCAGACTTGTAGACTTGACAGCGGTCCAGGCCTCTGTCTCCAAAACAACAATAGTTTCAGGCTGGTAGACCAAATGTGAAGCAGATTCTGAGCATGTCTTGTATCCCAGACAGCCAAGGTCTGGCCAGTGCGCGATGAAGGATGGTACGAGGTCTTCGAGGCATTGCGCAAGTCCGATCACGCGCGCCCTGACAAAGGGATGCCTTCGCAGTTGTGCAGCCTATGTCTCAGAAGCGGCAATACCGGGACCTCTTCCAAATTTGATTTTACACTTGGGTGACAGTAAACAGCATACTTCGTCTTGTCGATCTAGTCATGCCACATAAGAAGAATTGTGTCATCTAGTTTCATCCTGGTGTGCATGTTGAGGTCCAATTTATAGACCAGTACCATCATAGAGTCTTTTCTGGGTTGGGGCAAAAGCTGGCAGTAGAATCAGACGCATACGAGGTTCGGTTAGCACGTCCAACAGCCCGTGTTCAGTTTGGAGGGACGTAGGAGTCTCACTAGATTTCCCATGACCATGACGGGGGACTCAGAATTTTCCATTTTTGGCATATCCTGACCTTGGCTGAGTCGATCTTGCCAGCCGGCAGTACTGCCAGGGGCAAAAAGGAGTTTACATAGGGACGTAGGAAACTGCCCACTAATTGCGTCGGATCGGACCTTTGGCATTTGGGGATTTAGATGTGTTCCCTTGTTGCACCTGTTTTCCCAGTTGCAAGTGAAGGGTTTTCCACTCAATCGGCGGAAAGGCAGGCTGAATGTGGGAGGTTCCTCACATGAGTGTGTGGAAAGTCAAACTCTTTGCCTAGATACGATTTTTCCAAACAACAGGCAAAGGTGCAACATTTGTTGTGCCCGCGGGGCACTAGAAAGGCTAACGACCTCGGGTGCTCCTTTTTTGTGAGACCCTTTGTAGCTCCATGACACTTTGTATAGGGTACTGAAGGGTTTCCACGACGGGATGACCATCAAAAAAGCTTTTTTGGCAATCAGCAATAACTTTCAGCCATCAACAACGAACTTTTTTAGCAATCAAAAAAACACTTTCCACAATCTCACTCTGCTGCTTGTATTTGTGTTCTTTTGGTTGTCATTTGGTTTTCTGGTTCCTTGAACACCCCTGGTCCCGTGGTCCTTTGCTCCTCTGGTCCCTTGGTGCCTGCTCTTGGTCTCCTGGTCCCTTGGTCCCTTGCTTGATCCTCTGGTCCGGTCCTTTGGTTATCTTGGTCCGCTGAGCTTTGGTCCTTTGGGTCCTGCTCCGTTGGTCTTGGTCCCTTCATCCTTGCATCTCCTGGTCCTCTGGTCCCTTGGTCCTTTGGTCTCTTGATCCTTTGGTCTTTTGAGTTCCTCTCTGTTTGGCTTTTGTGGCTTTTTGTTGGGTTTATGCGGCTTTTGCGGCTTTGGCTTTCGCATCCTCTGCATTACCAGTTTCTCTCCGGCAGGTGGCTTTTTGGCTTTGTGGCTTTTGGCGGCTTTCTGGCTTTGGCTTTTTGCATCCTCTGCTTTCTCAGTTGGTTTTTGGCCGTGGCTTCCTGCATCCTCAGCATCGCCAGTTCCTCTTGCCCCCCAATGCACCCCTGATTGAATCATCATTTTTCGATCATCATGGGAAGGCCAATCCCCCACTACTATGTAGACTTTTTGCCCCTAATTGAATCATCACTTTTGCGATCGTCATGCGGCAGCCCCCCCGCCACTTTTAGATTTTTTGCCCCTAATTGAATCATCACTTTCTGGATCATCATGGGGGGGCTGCCGCCCCAACTTTGAGATTTTTTGCCATCACTTTTTCGATCATCATGGGGGGGCTGCCGCCCCCCCAACCTGGGAGCCTGTGCACTTGCGACATGCATCCTCAACGTCTCTACTTTCCATCAGGACGCTGGCAGGTCTAAGGCAACGGTCAGGGGCCTAGCAGAATTGCTGTGCGCGCAGGGTTGTCAGGGAAGAACGGTTTGCTAGACCCGGCTGCAGGCGTGTGAGGAGCGCAAAAAGCGAGCGGCTAGCCGCCGCGGGTCTTCTGAGAAAGCCACCGCCGTAGATCGTGAACATGCGTCTGTCGAGTAAACGGTATTTTGTGATGATGCTCAAGACTCAAGTCAACTATGCCTCCCTTACCTTTACAAAACCCTGCTCTCGCACCTTTGATTTCGGCTCTGCTGCGTCTTCTGACGGTTGGCGAGCGCGATGTCGACTTGCGCCCGTTGGCCCCTGCCGCGTCCTCGGGAAAGTCTCGCGTGAATTGAAGCCCAAAAAAAGATGGCTTAAAAGACTCTCGCCACTAAATAGGCGAGCAGGCTTGAGCCCAATCGGAGCTCGCTTGTGTGTGGGCCACTCTTCAGGGCTGTCGTGTCCAGGGATGGTCTGCTTTGTCAGCGATGTCATTGTAAACGCTTCGCGCGAAAGGAGGCCACAGAGCTTGAGTGGCAAGGTGCGAGTCGGCAGCCGGGCCAGGCAAGCCGAACGGTCCATTCATGTATTAGAGAGGAAGATCTTGAAGAGGGGTCTGATCCTGGCCCTGAAGGCCGAGTTTCAGCTTCAAAGTTGGAGGCAGCTGGAGCATGGATTTCGGCCGCGCGGAATAAGTTGGGGGGCTGAAGCCGACACGAACAAAACGGCCTGTGATGACCAGGGCAGCAGGCTCACATGTGAGGGCGCTGCAACCCTGGTTGCTTTTTTGCCGCTTTGCGAGCGAGGGAGCTTCCGCAGGCTATGGTTTGTCCTGTGTTTGCCCCGACTCTGTCCGAACAATGCTGGTCAGAAATTGTCGCAAGCCGTGGGAGGGGGAAGCTTCGGGATCTGACCTGTCATGTGCGCGGGCCGGCTCCGTCAGAGCTATGTTGGTCAGAGGTTGTCAGCTTAGTCCATGCCATATTGTTGGACGCTGATGAGGGCACGTCCACGTCTTAACAAGATATGGGGGAAGATGTTTGTAAGAAGATATGGGGGAAGATGTTTGTATCTAGACAAGACACGAATAATTTAGATTTGTGGCCCCCAATTCAACCATCACTTGTTCGATC